AATTGACGATTAAGACTTGTCTTAACTCCTGATTAAGACACTGACCTTGTTCTAGGTATCCCTCTTAGGCATTAAGATATTTAATCATGGTTTTGCTTCTATAGAGCTATTTATTCTTTGCTATTCTCGTTTGTACAGGGTGGTTTACCCTGTGAGCAGTCCTGCTGATTTGTGTGGAGCCACTCAAGGAAAAGGTACTTGGTGGCATAAGGCTGGGAGGTAAAAGTCATCCAGTTATTACATGTGCAGGAACTCCCTGTGGTAAAAAAAATCACTATTTACTTTTGTCACAGATTTTGTCTTCAGTGTGACAAAAAATATTAAAATACTAAATCTGTAATTAGGTATTTTGAGTTTCGCAGTGTTTTTCAATATCCACTGAAGAAATTTTTCTTGAACTCCACAGTGGAGTTCCACCCACTTCCAATGGGTTTGTGATATTTCAAGGTTTAAAAAAATCACATGAAATGGAACTATGGCTCCTGCATAATTTTCTACATAAATTTTCTTGGAACTACAGCTTATTCCCTTTTAAATTTTCTAATTAATAAGACTGAATTTTTTCCATTCTAGGTATCCACAAAACCTTCCATTTAAAATGATCATAGAAGGAAATATTGTTGGGTTGGGTTTTTTTCCTCACAATAAAGTATTCGAGAAAAGAGTTTCTCAAGAAGCGCTGATTTTTCAGGGCTGTGAAGGAAGAGACTGGGGTTTCTTGGGAAGGGACAGTGATGCTGATGTCACACACCAATATGTGCCCCTTGGGCCAGTTCTCCTGGACAGCCTTTTTACTCTCTTGGCAATGACATCACTTTTTTGCCTTGTGTATTGTTTTATGTTATTTTTCACAACGTTTTTTACCTTTCAAACTAAAACTGTGACCAGAAGCATACACACACCACTGGAAATGAGATGTGAAAGGGATTCAGACTCTTCTCACAAGCGACTCCACTGTTACGAACAATTTTGCTCAATTTCTCCAGCACAGTTCATACTCTTACAATATCTTATATTACTAATACTGGTAGTGTTAGTTATTTGTATATGTTATATTATGGCATTATTTCACTTAAGGTACGTTAAAGTATGCTTCTAAAGCATACTAACCATTTCACTTGGTTTCTGGGTGAGACAAAGAGTAACCAGGAGAACTCTGAGTGCAACCAGGATTTTTTTTAAAGTGGCAAACTGAAAACACTAATGCAGTTGTACCTTTCTTACTGATTATTCTCAGATCTGACTGAACATGATTCATGATCAGCTGGCTGCCTGTGGGTGACTTCCTTGGTTATTCTCCAAGGAATACACCTGTATTATATTCGGCCAAATGATTTTAATATCAGCAACTGATTATGTTTTCCTCAGCTCTGCGTGATCTGAGTTTCTTCTTGGGTGACTGTTTAATATGTACTGAAAATACAGCGCCTTGATAAATGACAGAAAAAATCAGAAAATGAACCAAGCTGTGTCATGCAAAACCATTAAATACTTGCAGAAAGCTTGGGCTCAAGTCCCAAAGTTGTTCTTGAATTACCATGTTACACCTTCACAAGAAAGGGAAGATTGGAGGCATAAAAAGTGGGACTTCTTTTCTAGAGGGAAATTTGTAACCTGCCATAGACCAGCACAAGCCTGTGGCCTGTCTTAGTGGGTCTGTTACCTAGGAGTGAGAGAGAGATGCACGGCCCTGCATAACCAGAGCACTGCAGAGGAGAAAGTAATCTACAGGGTAAATCCACAGAGTTGCCAGCATTTCAACTTCCTTTTTAAAAGATGAATGAAGATGCAAATGCTCTGAAATGGCCAAAAGGACTTTAGCTCCATCTGTCTTTCCCAGCCAGTTATTAACCCAGTGGCCATTCTGTTAGTACCAGTCATCTAACTGGAGAAGCAAGTGGTTCCACCATTATCTGTGTGGCTGCAGCCCCCCCCAGTTTTACCCTTCCCACAGGTCTGGGTTGGTTTCCACCCCATCAGTCTCTACTCCAAACAAGGTGCTGTTCAGAAAGTCAGAAGGACTGGGCTACAGGTGAGGGAAAAAGGATTAAAACTGGTTGTCAGATTAAGGGTACAAGCCCTGGAATTTCCAGGTGAGACATAAGGAGTGTGAAGGTCATGAAAATCATGTAACAAACAAATAAGGACATAGACTAGAAGACATGTTGTCTTTCTTAAATCTGCCCATGCTGCCCCCCTTGGAGAGGGAATAATGGATAAATGTGTTTAAGAGTGTATAACAGTTTGTATGCATAAAGAACTCAAAGTATACTCTATGTATAATATGTGTAATATGCACATATGTATAATATGTACGTGAGTATACATCACATACATGCAGAAATTAATATAAAATGAGCTGCAAAATGAATACAAAAATGTGCCCTGTGTCTCTTCAAAAGCATGTGACCTTTCTTAGGTCAATTTTAATGACCCCAAGTATTTAAAAATGTAAAGAAGTAAAAACTACAAATGTGTGGTAATTCTAAAGGCTCATAGCACACATGCATGCATATCTTGATATTCAGAAAGCATATGTAGCCTCATACTAAAGGCATTTTTAAAAAGCTATATCATTCCTTCTGTTTTTTACAACAAAAGTTTAGAAAGTACTCAAAGTTAAAAATAAGTGATAGAAAGGCTGTAAATATATATTGTTGTAGCTGTTTTTTCTTTTGGAAATTTCTGATGCTGAAAATTTGATGGACTTTTGTCCTTTCTGGTCACTCATGCTTACTTCAACTTGGTTTTCTGTCATCCTTGCTCCAGTAAGAGTCTTTTAGCTCAATTGTGACATCAATCACTTGGACTATAAATCTCTGCAATGGATATGGCCATTTAAATCTCCACCTGCACAAACAACAATCAGGCCTAGAAAATAAGGAGACTCATAAATCTCCACATTGGTGATTATTAGTATATTGTATTTGCAAGAGCAATGTTATTAAAAAAAAAGTTATTAATTAATTAGGACTGATATACTGACAATCTGTTTAGTTTAGTTTATATGCAGAGAAAACACAAACAGGGCAGAGCTAACACAACGTGAATTTAGAAGTTAGTGAATTCCCAAGAGCCCAGGGCTTGGAGATATGATATCTTAATGTACTTATCCTATTGTGAGTGGGAAGGTGTTATCTTCCAGACAAATGATAAAGAGGTGGTTTAAAGTTTAGATCTACTGTTTTTTCTTCTGGCTTACATGAGCCAAGGAAGAAAGATGGATCAAGAGATAGGCAAGACTTCCTTGCTGGCTATCAAAAATTACACTCTGCCTCCTACTGAAAATTTAATCTGCAGACAGTACGTAGCACTAGGCATACCAGCTTGGCCCTCCACAGTTTTTGTTGGTTTTTTTTTAATGCATTCAGAAAACCCTATGTGATGCTTACACAGATCAGCAAGAGACTTTTCCTGTGGCTCCAGTGACTTTGGATTAACTATTAAGTCACTGGTGACATCTGAGGCTGCACATCTTTCTCTGGAGCTACATGAATGCTCAGACAAGCAGCTGAATAAGCGGAATTGCTCCTGCAATAAGAGCAGTCCCTGTGTGCATTTCTTTAGTCCCTTGTGTTTGAATACTCAAAAGGCAACCTGTGAGGTTTCAGGAAGAGTGTTAGTAGGGAAGGAGTTACAGGAGCAAGTTTGATTCACTGACCTCTTTGGGCTCCAAATGTGGATTTAGGAGACTATTTTACATGGAGAGGAAGAAGTGATAACACAAGGTCAACTGCTTTCAAAAGCCTGCTCTGCTGAGACTGAATACACATGTGCATAGGTTTGTAGGGGTAGCATAAGTCTGTTCATTAAAACTACACAGAAACCCCCTCCCTCACACTTGTGGTAAAACCACTGGGAATGTTTGGCTTCGGGGGTTGCAGAGCCCGGCCTAATGCCCTCAGTCCCACCGCTCCCACAGGAGGGGCCTTATCCCTTATCTTGCCTCTTTATTCAGGCAAAACCCCAGACTTTTGAGCATGCACGAATCAGCAGACAAAACAGTCCACAGGTACGGCAGAATTAACCGCTGACATCTGCTCTGCACACCAAGTAAAGGTTTCTTTTCTGTGGGAACTCTACCACCCAATAACCCCTCCTGTTTCCTTCATTTCATGCACACCCTTGCCACCCCATCCACAGCCACACAGACCCTCCCCAGCAGAACAACACTCTCCCTCGGCTCTGTGGGGCTCACAGATTGCTGGGATCTTGGCCCACCTGTGGACCAGGAAGCCCCGGCAGCATTCACAGCTGGGAGGACTCAAAGGCCGAGAGTGACCGGGACTTGTCGGACGTCACCCCAGAAGGCTGGAAGAAGTCAGATCCTCCTGCCTCCAGCCCCTGGGCTGTGACGGCAAGGTCCACGCTGCTGGCCAGGCAGCGGAGCACTCCCTTCCTGGAATATGCTACTAGCTGGACAGGATGCGTTCGCAAATATAATCATCCACAAATCTCCCCCAGATTAGGTTACAGGACAGCGTTTCGACGGCACGCATTACAAAGCTCCCTGGAAGGCTTGGCTGGTGGATCTGCTGCTCTCTCTGCTCATGACCCATTTTGGCTTTCATCAAGAATCATGACACCAGCTGCCTGGGTCATCTAGAAGGCAGAGAGGGGGAGAGTAACCCTGGGCTGTAAAGGGAACTGGGGAAGGAGAAGAGAAGAAGGAGAAGGAGGAGGAGGAAGCGGGAGGATAGAAAGACAGAGCAGGGGGAGAGAGAGTAAGTGAGTTGCTTTACTCCAGTTGTGAAGATTTGAATCCCAGTTCCGTGTTCTCGGCAAAAGCTTGCTGGGATACCTCATTCCCTGTCCTGTGCAAAGGTCTGTGATTGGGGATGTGGTGTGCTCAGCGGGAAGGGCCCCTCCCCTGGGCTGGATCCGCCTCTCTTATCCCCCAGATAAATTACTAGTGTCCTCACTAAATTCCTCGGCTTTCTCTCTCCCTCTCTCTCTCCCTCTCTCACACAATCTCACTCCCTCCCTCAAACACAGGCAAAGCGGGGTTGGGGGGCGGGAGGGCGGGGATCCTCTCTGGACTGGTATTGTGCCTTAGGTCCTGGGCGGGGAGGGAAGGGGAGGAAAATACTGGCACCCCTTCTCTCCTACGTCGCCTTGAAATAGATTTGAGGAGCTGCCCTTCTTCCCCCCTCCCCCCTTTCCTGCTGATCGTTTGGCATCATCCAGACCATGTCTACTGGGTCCCTCAGTGATGTGGAAGATCTGCAGGAGGTGGAGATGCTGGAGTGCGATGGCCTGAAAATGGATACCAACAAAGAGTTTGGGGCGTCCACCGAGAGCAACGAGGAGGGATCCAATGGCGAGAATGGCTCCCCTCAGAAGGGGAGAGGGGCCTCGGGCAAGAGGAAGAAAGCTCCCCCCAAGAAGAGCCCTTTAAATGGAGTGAGCCAGGAGGGAAAGCAGGTACAGAGAAATGCTGCCAACGCCAGGGAGAGGGCGAGGATGAGGGTCCTTAGCAAAGCCTTCTCCAGGCTTAAGACCACCCTACCCTGGGTGCCCCCAGACACCAAACTTTCCAAACTGGACACCTTGAGGTTGGCCTCCAGCTACATTGCTCACCTGAGGCAGATCCTGGCCAATGACAAGTATGAGAACGGCTACATCCACCCAGTCAACTTGGTAAGTCGCAGTCTGCTGGGGACAGGCGCTCCGTGCCTGTGCATGGGGAGAGGGGGGTGAGGAGCTGGAGTGGGGCATGTGCGGGGACAAAACTTTGCTATGCTTCTCACAGAGAACCTGGTGCCAGTGGGGTGGAAAGCGGTACAGTACAAGGGAACAGGCTCCCACCTACCCTGCTGCCCTGTGCCCTGAGCACCAAGCCTCCTAGGCCCCCTCTGCTGTTCCTGGCAATCCCTTCCAGGAGACAGGCAGCCACGCTGGCCACAAATAAGCAGGGGCAGGCTTTACACTTTACTGCCCCAGAAACCACATCGGGTTGGTGGCAGCTTTCTGGGCAGGTATAGGAATTTGGGTAGAAGAGGGTGTGTTTGAGGAAGGACACAGGATTTATTCTTATCCTGTGTCTCTACCCTAATGTTTCCTGACACAATACCGTCCCCAACCACTAGCTTTTCAAAGACAGGACTCGTGCTCAGCAGCTCAGGTTTGCTGAGTCCAGGATGTTTCTCCTATCCCTGTAAACTGGCACAGGAGAAATAAATACCAGTGCAGACTCCCCAGAGGTGTCTGCCCCAGGCACACTCTACAATGCCTCTCCCTGGGCTGTGTGGTGTCCCTCCTGCTGCTCCCACCACATAAAATTTTACTGAGCAGCCCTGGATCTCCTGACCGTACCCGGCCGCCAGAAATATCCAGTTTCCAACTCTAAAAATATGTACAAATGATGTAAACCGGGGATAAGAAAGATCTGCCTGGCTCTTTTTAGACATACAGCCTTTACACTGCCCACACGTGCAGACCCTGACTCATAAATGGATCACAGAGGGGAGCTGGGGATGTTTCACTGAGGTCAGGCTCTGCCTTTTGAGCTCTGGACTCTGGGGGCAAGTACGCTACCCGCTGTGTCAGCTGCTAAGGGCCTGGGAGCTAATTTTTGATTAAAAACAAAATCCTCAGCGCACCAACATAGGAAAAAAATAAGTAAACCAAACCAGCACCCAAAATAGATATAACCTCCCTCCTCTTCTGCACAGAGGCACACCAAAACATTCTCCCCGAGCTGCGGGAGGCCAGGGAGAGCGGCCGGGGGCTGCGGGGGCTCCGAGCAGCTCCTGCGCCCGGGGTAGCGCGGCGAGGCGTGAGGCGGCTCCCGCTGGCCGGAGTCCCCAAGCCGGTCACAACCAGACGCGGGGGGAGGCGCGGCTACGGCGGAGTGACCGCGGCGATTATGCCGGGGGGATGCGAATTGTGCCGGAGCCAGGCGGCTCCTTTCTCGCTCCCTTCTGCCGCGGATCAGATGGGCTTCGCCGCCCCGAGGACGCCCGGTGGGGACCGCAGGGGCTGTGAGGCGAAGCGGCATCAGCCGCCGGCGAAAGGCAAAAAGGTCCTTGCCGAAGCCAGCGGCAAATGCCCAGGCCTGAGCCCCGCTGGGCGCTGCCCGAAGTGGAGTCAGGTGGGGAATGCCGGGCTCGGTCCCCCCGGACGCTCCCGAGCCGGAGCCGCTGGCGATATGAGCGTTGCAAATGTGCATTTCTCCATGTGTAACCCCCTTCCCACTCGTGTCTTTTCCTGGCTACAGACTTGGCCTTTTATGGTAGCCGGCAAACCCGAGAGTGACCTGAAAGAAGTGGTGAACACAAACCGCTTGTGCGGCCCGACGGCATCCTGAGCCCCGCGGCCGGGCCAGCAGCGTCCTTCCCGACGCGGCCGTGGAGCGGGCGGCGGGGCGGGCAGGGACCCGCCGCGGCCCCGCCGCTGCCCCGGGCCCCGGGCAGAGCCACGGGGGGAACCGATCTGCCGGCGCAGAGGAGAACAAACGTGCCCTAGCAAAGACTCCATCCACCCCGAGAGATCCTGACTCTATTTAACTTTATTAAATGCGTGTACAGTCGAGTGTCCTACAACCACAGCCTTGCTGGTTCAAGAGCTACTAGAGAAAAGACAGAGATCAAACAAAACCTACCCCGCGTGTATCTTTTGTCTGAGACCTGTGAAATATGTAGATGCCTAGAAAAACTGACTTTGACAGTCATCTCTATGAAATAATTCACCCTAAAGATATATAGATATATTTTCTTCAAGCAGATTCTGCTCTATTTCTGTGAATAAACCTTCCTTTCTACTGAGCACGGAGCCGTGTTAAGTGTTCGTTTGAGACTCTCGGGCTCGGCGGGGGAAGGACTGAGCCTCCGCCGGCTCCGCCGCCCCACGAAGCGGCCGTGCTGCGGGGATCCCGCCTCTCCGCCCCGGGCCACAGGAGGTCTGCTTTCCCGGAGCTAAAGACCTGGGGCAAACCCCTGGGGGAGGGGGTGGCTGGGTCCGCAGCTCGCCGCGGGAGCCTGGCCCGGCTCCGCAGCCCGGCGCCCGGGCGCTGCAGGAGCCACCCCCGCCGCTCCGCTCCGCGGGGACAGGAGCAGTGATCTATTGATGAAGTACAGTCGGTCCTCAGCGCCGGGAATTTTTAACTTAAACATCTCCTCTCTATCGATCAGCGAGTCCGTGGGAGATGAGGCTGAGATAAACAGGAGTGCGGGGCGCTCCCCCTGCACCGGCAGCGGCCGCCGGCAGCTGATGCGCCAGATCCCACCGCGCTGTTTAATGTTTCAGGGTTATGACCGCACTGTTTACAAGATGTCTTCGGTTATTTATACTGTTATTATTAGCAGAGGGGCTTTAAATTTCCGCCTCACTTGCTCTTTCAATACCGTCCCTCGGTTCCGTTTGATACCTGGGTACTTTCTTGCCGAAAGCACGAGAGGGGCAGCAGGGGCTGCAGGGCCGTCCTCCGGACCAAGTCCTCCGTCCCCGTTAGTTACTGGGACCGGCGGCAGGGCCCGGGGCGCGGTCAGAGGCAGCGTGGGGGCTACCGACCCTCCCGGGGGCTCCCTCCCCCGGGTATCCCCCACAGGCCGGTGTTGAACTGCTCCGGGCATCCGTGCAGCCTGGATTGTGTTAATTCTTATCCCTCACTTTCCCCCGAGATAACTGGACGAGGTGGCGCGTCCTCCAGGTGACCCAAATTCACCGGTCGGGTTCATGCGTGGGCTAGGTTAGGTTTAACGAAAGCAGCTCGCTGTGAACTGAGAGCTGTGCAAACATCTCGGCCCTCATTATGAAAAGGGCCAGGACCTGCTGTATCATCCTAATGGTTGTGAAGGGGAGAGCTGTTTAATTTCACTTTTGCTCAGCTTTATCTCCATGCCACACAATTAAGAGCAGACCTCTGTGCCTGGCCTAACCATGTGCAATTTCACTGTTGTGGACAGGACTGCACCAGGTGAGACACGCACTTACACACAGGGGCTTGACTGACTTTGCAGCCACACACACAGACCCTGAGCAGCCGCAGCTTTTGCTGAAGAGACAAGCGGCTCTGGTAACCACAGCTGAACTGGCTGATTTGCTGATTTCTTTGGCATGGGAAATTCAGTGGGAATTGCTGGTCCGCAAAGGGAGACAGAATAGAGGCCCCCGGCCATAAGCTGAGTGCAGGTGACTGATACAGCAAATGCACATTTTAATCTCTAAATTTACTCACCGAATTGAAGATAGCCATTGGATTTAACCACTCAAAATCTCAACTTAAATCCATACTAAATAACATCTGGTCAAGACAGCAAGATGCTGATTTCCTTCTAGAAAGCAGAAATTGACACGCATCTGAGATATGCATAAATTTGAGTTAAATTCTGTTAGAATATTCTAACACGTGCTTCTTTGCCACCTGGTCTTGCAATTCTTGCTAACTGCACTCAGCATCCTCCCACCTAATTAACCATATGCAGTGTTCGTTCACCACCTAAAATACAACATTGAAGAAAGGGAAGGGAGGAATACAATGGTACCTTGTGAAATGTGAGGAACACAACTATAACCATGTGTCAAAAGCTGCTGGAACAGTTGAAGATGCTTACTGTGTACACACCAGCAGTAGATACCATTGCTTCTTGTACTGCTGTTTGCTTTATCTAGCAGTCTACGTTGCAAGTCTCTTGGGGACTAAACTATTCCTCAAGCATTCTGCACCTTCTTCAGTCCTTGCCTCTGAGCAACAGTTCAGCAACAAAGAAACAAAAAGCAACAAGAAATAAACAAAAGCAACCAGCAGTACACAGAAAGGTAAATAATGACTTCACGCTGATTGTAAAACTATTAGTGGTTTTATCTCAATTTTGAAGACAATGAACATATTTTCCAGAGGCATTTATGTGGCTGGGAACTCCTGGTCCACTGACCTCTTGTGTTAAGGGCACAGACCAGACAGTAATGGCACAGTGCTGGCAGCTGGCTTCAACAGCCCAAGTTTCTCAGATTAATTAAGAGTTCTATTACGCACTTCAGGAGAACAATGAATGAAATTATTCTACCCTGCTGCTGAGTGCAATTTTACCGCAAAATATTTGCAAATAGAAAACGTATGTTTAGTCTGACTGAAGCAATTTATACTTTTGAAAGGAAGTCGCATATGTGCTAAGGAAAAGAGCGAACAGGTTTAAATATTGATGTCAATGACTTTAAAGAAAATATTTTGTTTGCTTTTTTGCTTTTCTGTACAAAGTGATGCATTTTAATATTTACCAAAATATACTTATACCCCTTTTTCATGTGGAAAAAAAGTTGACTTGGTTTATCTTTCTGTATCTACATGAATGTAGATGCAGCTGTGTGAGTGTCTGTATACATTCCCTCCTAGTAATGTTTGAACTCATTGCCTGATTTCAGCTAGATTTGACAGAGGTCTCAAAGATAAGAAAGTTACTATAATTTTTAATATTTTTGTGTGCGTGTGTGAAAACAGGCAGCTGAGTAAAGAAAAAGTCTATAAATTTTGCAACTGAAGGGTTTCAACATGAGCTCAGCCTTTATTGGATACGAGAACATATAGAGCTGTGTGTCAGCTGTAGATGAAACTCCAAATGCTGCTTCAGTCACAGGATACAAGTTCATAGAAAACTTGCTTAAGGACCTACATGTTTTAAGATAAGAACTCTATAAAAGTAATTTAGTTCCATTTGATTTTGATACTAGTATTTTTTGTTTGTTTGTTTCTTTGTAAAGAAACTAGTTGCAACCCAGCTACTCCGTGACCACTTTCCAATTCAGCTACAGACTAGCAAATCCTTTATTTGCAGTGCTGACTCAGTGTTCAGGCTCCTGGGTTTGCTGCTGACATTGTGCTCCTTCGCAGAAGTTTTCACAGTCTGTAAGGTCTTACACAAAATACCTTTTAGGCTTATCTTATCCTCTCACTGGGATGGAAATCTGCCAGCCTGGAGCATCAGCATAGCAAGAAACCCACTTTGCAGACACCTGCAAAATGCCGTGCTGTTCTGGGCACCGACTGGGGCAGCGAGGCAACAGTGTTGGTCGTGCCCTCAAACTTCAAGGTGCATAAGGAGAACATGTGCAAGATAGCTTATTCTTTAAAGTGCCTCTGAGGTCAAAATTCCCAGCTCACCTCAGAAAATAAAAGACACAGAAAATCTGTGGGGTTTATTCTGTAGGGAAGCTGTTTTGAATCCTGGACATAATGATAAGATCACAAGCACAGTTTTGCTTGATGTATTTGTATTTGTAACCCCTCAGTTGTGTCTGCCTGAAAAAAAACTTGCTTCCTTTAAACAAATCACATATATTTTTCAAAAGGCATTTTTTGCCAAAACTCTGTTATAATTTCCTCTCATTATAATTTGTAGTAAAAAAAATTTAAATACGCAAAATACATTACCTAATTGCAGGTTATAAACTTTCTAAAAGAGAAAAAAAACTTTATGCATATCTAGTGTACAAGTGGAGAGTATAATCTGATAAAATTTCTGGGTATTTAAATTTTTGTCTGGATATCTGAATACAGATTAGCACTCACAGTCTCCCAAAGGGACAGGATTACAAAAGAAATTTCAATTACATTGACACAAAATTCAGTTTCAGTGAAATTGAAATTTTTAGCAGCAAACAACCAAGCATCCTGTAATTGCCATGTATATACACACCTGGAAAATCCTCCATACAGAATTTTTTCCAACAGTCAGATTCAAATTACTTGTGTTCATTGCTGGCCCATGTAGCATTGACTATTCCCATATTAAGGCTGTGCTATCAAATGCAGGCCCACAGGGTAAATACCATCTTGTGCTCACTATTCAGCTACAGATTGCTTCAAGCTCTTCAGCCCAGAATAGTTTGTGGCTGGGAAGTGGCACAACCAGTAATAATGGCACTTTTTTGTCACTAGTGCTGCAAACCTACTGATGTCATGGCTTGAGGAATTTCTGCAATTCTGAGATGCCAGGTCTGACCTAAAAGTTATGCTCCAGGAAGGATGGGGCAAAGGCATGTGTTACCTTTGAGAGGACTGTTGCCAGCAGACTGCAAAACCAGCAAAGTTCTGCAAGTAACTGGTTTCACTTCAGACACTGGTGTCTCTGAGTACAAAACTGACTTCGAGTAGGCCCAGGCATGCAAGTCATCCCACTTCCCAAATTCGGCAGGGACATACCCTAGGGTCACAACAGTCCAGAGATGACGCATTTTCTTGCCTTAGAGTTTTGCCCTTAAACTGAAACTTGTAAACAGATGAAACACGTTTTCAAGCCAATGCGCATGTGTGCACTCAGTTACGCCATCCTGAAAACCTCCTTGCAAGGAAAAAAAGATCATAACAAAAGCAAGAAAATAAAAAACAGTATAAATCCTTCCTTCACTTCAAATTTTAAGAGGTCCTTCTCCATGAGCAAATTAAAAACCCCAATCTTTATTTAGACCTCAGGCTGTTGTGTAAACTATTAGACCATATCCAACTGTAAATATGGATTATCTACAGTCTTGAGTTTTCTCTTGGTTGTTTACAAGTTGTTTCAGAAACAAGGCTCAGAAACACTAGGGAAAGAAAGCAAGGGTTTAGCTACACAACCAGGAGACAAGAAGAAAGGGAGAAAAAGTTATAGAATAATTCCTCTTCCTCTGATTACCACAGCTCAGTCCTTGTGGCAGGATGGGTTCAGGAAGGGAGGAACTATCAGCAGCTCCATCACAGACGGGTGGAGCCAGACCACCACGGAGATGGAAACCAGGAGGTTGAGAGCTGCAGCTGCCTTTTCCTGGGAGGAACATCTGTGAAAGCCTGCACGGCAGCAGCAGGGGAGGAGGAGTGGGCACAAGCAAAGACCGTTCCCAGGGATGTGCTCACAC